GGATCAGAGTAATATTAATTATTAAAACTGATCCATAGAGAGCTCGATGTATTTATTATAACAGAGCATATGAATTATTACATTTATTTTCAATGTGAGTCCTCCTCTGGTGGATGCCTTGTTAATGAGAATGGATTTGTGTTAGTGATTGGTGGAGGTGTAAGGTATCTTATCCTGGGGGAAGCAGTTTGGGGTTGGAGTTTATTTATCGCCAGGACCTTTCATTGTTTGTAGTTTAATATCAATTCCTACTATGTGGCATTTCTTATATGAGCCCCAAGTGTGTTTCTCTGGGATTTACAGCAACTAGTTTTTGTATTACAGGTGTCCAATATTATTAATAAATGATGGGGGATTTAAACTTAAACCTGTTAAAATTAAAGTAAATTAGTTGAATTATAGATTTATAGATTGTGGGTAATACCAGAGCACCCAGTGGAATAAATCATACTGTCCAACACACTTATATGCGTACATATCTTCACACATAAATATATGTACATTTACATGTCCAAACATATAATGCTCCAAGACAGACACTTAGGGGCTGATGATAGTCGCATACAGAATGGCTTGAAATAGACTATACTCTATGTTGAGGTAACTTTTGTTTTTTGTTGTAAAATTATATATATATATATATATATATATATATATATATATATATATATATATATATATATATATATATATATATATAAAATAAAGTGGTACTGGTTGGCTACTCATTTCTGAATAAACCTATCTGCTAGGGTGAATGACTAGTCCCTGTTGCAGACATGTGCTCAAGCACATTTGTGCTTCTTCAACACCCATTGTTGTTTATACTGCAGAGAGTGCATAATCTATCCTGATCAGTAGTTGAATAAAGCCTTTGTTGCCAAGAACAATGGCAAGATTCGTAAACTGGTCTCATGGCAGAAATGCTCATGTTTTAACCACTCAGCTATATGCCCAGTTACATCTTATATAATTATCTTTACAAAATAGATGTATCCAGTTTCTACTTTTTAGGGGTCCCACAGATCTGTGCAAAAAAATTTCAGGACTTCTCCAGGGTTTTACCAGGATTATGTTACGATGTTTCAAGGACTGAAACTGACACACACACAAAGTGAATCAAGAAAAGCTACAGCTAGTTCCAGTAATTCATTTTACATGGATCAGTTGAAAACAGTGAAGAAATAAAAGTGTTGAAGGCACAACTGAATGCAGATCTGGTTATGTGACACATTTTGTGTAGCATTCTACATAGTTTGGAGTTCTACTACACTTGAAAACTTTGAATTACAGAATTTTTGACAGCTACATATTTTAGCTATACAGACTGATAGAATATGAATGTTACAAAAATTCTTGATTGCTGCACATTTTCTGTAAAAGTATAATGGTTTTATTGAACAGAACTACAAACAGAAATTTTTACAAAAAGATGACACATTTTAACTACCCCTACTACCCATGGCTTTCATTGCACATGGCACAGAAGACAATGATGTTAACATTTCTTCATTTCATCTAGTTTAGCATTCAGCTCCACTTCCAATTTTGATATCTCTATGGACTTGTACTTTGCAGATCTTTGCAATAAATATGAAGTTCTGAGTCTGCTCTGCTTTCTCAGCATAGATGTCAGCTGACTTGAGCAAATCATGTGTGCAACTTTCAAGTTTGTACTTTTTGGTCTTTAGATCTTCAATTTCCATAAGCACGGATTTCCATTTTTGTCAAGCTGATTCTGTTTGCCTTTTTTCCTTTTCAGGCTCAAGGAATTGGTTGTATGCTGTTCTGGCATTGGAAGCACGGCAGAGAAGAACCTTAGTCATTGGAATATTCCCAGCACCTCTAACTGTGACCAAATAGTTTATGATAATGCAGTATGCGACCAGAGTCTGCTGTTTTCATATTGTCAGTGGAAATTTCCTTAATGACTGAGAAACCTCTCTCCACTGAGGCTTGCCCATGGGAGAGTACTAGCAATCTGTGAACAACTTTCAAGAGTTTTTGATTTTCTTTGTTGCTAGACAGAGAAGAGTAGAACAAGACAGTTTGTTGAAATTCTTGAAAGCAATATTTCCAGCAGCCTCCACCTTGATCTCTTTGTACTGACTGATGATGTCATCACAATCAGACTTACTGACTTGTTTTCTGTCCATCATGTATGAAAGACATCTTTTTAGACTATCTTATGTTGGCAGATTTTTTTTCACAAATGAATCCAGGGTTCAGTTATGCAAGGGTATCTAAAGGGGAAACTTTTGAACATTGTATGCAGAATTGCAACAAAGACAAACAGATCTTTTGTTGACATATTTCCTTTTTTGGATAAATTTTGAATAGCACTTTTCTACCAGAAATCCACACTTGATCTTTGCATCATCTTTGTGCATGTTTGGGTTTGACAAAATTCTTACAAATTCATTCAGTTTGAAAAATGTATTTATCTTTTTAGTCTGCTCTTTCATTATAAATCTTCTTAACAATTTCATGATCATGCTAAAAAGATCATCTGCAAGGAAAAGAAGCAATGGTTTATTTCTCTGATATTTTATCAGAAACAGTTCAATATTTTTTGAGAAAGTTTCATGAGAAATAAGACGTCATTCACATTTGACTGTTTTTGCACAGTGCAGTTGGCTTTCCGTTTTGAACCATTTGTGAACAGAGCTAACCAGATATTCTTCTTTTTTTTTTTAATAACCAAGTATCACTGTACACAGAGTCATCTTTCGCCATCTTTAACGAAATAGCAGTTTTGTTTATGTATGCTCTGCCCACAAGGCAGAAATACAAAAGTAAGGTTTGCTAGATTGAAATTTTAATATAAAGCCAAGCAATAAAAGCCAAATAAGTTTTAATATATTTCATCATTTTTTGACACTTACAACAAAAGCTAGAGATACAGATTAGCCTGCAATCTTTAAAAATAACATGCTTATTTTTTCAAAGACGCATTTTCTATCCTATCTGAAGACATCAAAAGCACATTTTTTATTCTATCATCCTTCCCTGTCTACATTTTCTTTGACTCAGATTTGATTCTCAAACTTGTTACTTTTGGCAACAATTTAGACAAATGTAGCTTACACATAGACGCACACTGATAGGATGGCATGAACTCACCCACTGCTAACGAGATCAAAAGGACTTTTTAATTTTGAAAATGACATGTGAATAAAATTTCTTCTATTATTCAAATTTTAAAAAACATAAATTTTCAAAATTCTACTAAAATCTCTTTTATTACTGTAAAATAACTTATTTTCCTTTCAACTAGAATTTAAACGAAAGTGAATTAATTTATCTTTGACAAAAATGTTTACTTGTCTCTAATGACTTTATTTTGGCTTTGCCTCTAGTTGAGTGAGGGTAGCAGCCAAGAAGATACACCTTCATATTCTTTCTCCCTTTCTTTGTCATCACATAGATAAGAAAATACAGCAGTAACTAGGAGATGAATTCTGGTCAGGAGGAAAAGGAATAAATAACTTCAAAATTTATTTTGTTGCAACAACCAAATCAATGAAAAACATTCTTTACAATTGCTGAGTAAATTGACTTAATCAAAATAGATTTTTTTATGTTAGGAAGAACATGTTAACAAATAAAGTTTAAAACCTATGTCTTCATAATTGTACTATTTGGCCAAAAATGATTTTACATCAACATTATACAATTACATTATATATCTTCCAAGCAGACAATGTTAACAGCTGTCTAAACTGACTTCCAGGAAATTTATGTCAGTTTTGTGACAAAATAAGTGGGTCAGCAGCAGGTCTGAAGAGTCATATAAGTACCAGATAAACTTGAAGAAAACACAGAAGTCTTTCATTTGTCATGTATGCAGGAAAGCCTGCAAAGGTGAAATGGGTCATCTCATTAACTTACAAATTCACAACCACTTGATCCAAAATTGAAGAGATGAACTTCTATGAAGAACTAATTCACACACACACACACATATATATATATTATATATATATATATATATAAGAGACAGTTTTGAAAACTTCTATTTTGATGTTTCACCAATGAACAGGTATCATTGGAAAAATATTTTTTTAAATACATATATATTATGTACTGTATTTTCTTGAATATAATATGACCCCATGTTGTTGGGTTTCAAAACTTATTTTGGGGAAATGTGCTTTGTTGTAACATCATTTTTATCAAGCATCATATTGCCTATTGCCTTTATTAATTTATTTTAAATCAGATTCAGTGAATTTCCTGTCTTTGAGACAAAATATGTTCAATTACACTGATTCCCAAAGAACAAATATTGCCAACATATAAAATACCCTTCTTAAACAATTGTTATCAACACCTGCCTACTTTCTGTTTTATTATCTATTATGCTAATTGACTGTATTTGCAGTTTTGCTGTTTAAAATAAGAGGATTTTTAAGCTGAGTAAAAATTTCTGAAAATGTGTACTTCTGTATAACACATCCTCCCCTTTTTTTGCCTTTAATTTTCATTCAAAGTTTCTTATATTATACACAAGAGAATGTGGTATATATTTTTTTAATAAATAATTATTTATAAATTTTTCTGTGTGTAACCCTTTTTATATTACCAGAATATAATGAACTCTTCTGATGACATAGAAATAGAACTTTGTTATTTTCAAGTCAATAAATAAAGATCTAATTATTGAATAACAAATAGAATGTTATTTAATTTTTAGGAAATTTGAAATATAAACAAGATGAAGAATAACAAGGTTTTTGATAACTTATAAGTATAATTCAATTGCAAAATTACTTAAATTAGAGCCGTCATTTTTTGATGGCAAGTGTAAACTAATATACTAATAAATTTTGTATTTCAGATTATTTTTATTTTAATTCACAATAGTATGTAAGTAAAGCTCATTTCAGATTGTATGATAAAGAGCATTTTAAACATTCTGAAATAAAGCTAATGAAATGAATTAATAAAAAATATTAACTATCTGCAAATATATAAGAATTAAGAAAATATGTACATACTCGCTCAAGGTTTAATATGGTTGCCATTTGTGTAAGACGAGCAAATTTATCTCTAATCGTCCATGTAGTTACAGATGTGAGGTAACTGGCTAATGCTCGTAATTCCTTGTCAAACTGCAAACCTCCCAGCTAGAATAAAGAAATAATTTTATTACAAAATGGAGGTTGATTAGCAAACAATGAATGGAAGAGCTAAAAACTGTGATAAAAAAAGAAAAGAAGTTGATACAGTACTTCCTCAATTATCTGGATACCTTGGATAATTAAAAATTCTGGATAATTAAATACTTCAATTATTAAAAAAGAATGAAGAAAAATATCATTTTCTTAAAGATATTTAAAATTTATATCATCAAATAACATTTTTAAATGTTTTGTTCAAATTTTTTTTTCAGTTTATTTCTTATGAACTGATTGGTTGTTTTGGTTTAGCAGCATATCAACCATTACATGTTATTTAATGGTGAAATCTAAATATTTTGTATGCAATTTTATGCTTTCAACTACAAATATTTTATACTTTCATGGTAAAGGTATGTTATTTAGATATATAATTTGATATCATAAAATATATTGTTAGTAATTTTACTACAAAATGTATTTTTATATTTTTTTAGTGTTGCATTGATTGTCATTTTGCTATAAAAATGTATTGTTGGTCATTTTATTATAAAAATGTACTGCTGATTTTTGTTTTGGGGTTCACTATTAGCTGCTACCATCCTAGGTTGGGATGGACTTGAGAACATTATCAGTTCAGAGGTGGTTCAAGCCTTGCTGATGGATATAGTTTATCATTGTACCCAGGATGATATTTCCTATGAAAAAAAAAAAAAACCCCCCAAAAAAAAACAAAAATCTTATTGATTTTTGTCCATTTCCAGCTGGAAATGCCATTTTTTTTAAAAAACAAACTTCCAAGCTGAATTAAAGTAGATGTATTTGTAAAACTAACCTTTCTGGTTTTGTTTTATTACTGAATTTAGGGAAATTGCAATTTCAAAGCACAAAATCACAAAAAGTAAAATGACAATGAGCTATCTCATCATTTAGGAAATGCTACCATCAATCTTCATTTCAAGTCTGGATAATGGAAAATTGAGGAATGGATAATCAAGGAAGTACTGTAAAATTAACCAAAAATATATTTAAAAAAAAATAAAACAAGAAAAGTGTAATAAGTTCATTAGATTTGTCATAATTTCTGACATTATTATCATCATACTGGCATCTCCACTTCAGTCATTTTCCCACTGCTGTAACGTGGTTCCCCTGTGCCTTTTCTATAAACATTTTCATGGTAATTGTTCTAATGAGCTTTCCTCTTTAGTACCTTGACTTCACAAATTTTTAAGTGCAGTACTAGATTGGCAGCTAGGTTTTATCATTTTACTGTTGAAATTGCTAAGATCTATGTTAACTGTTTCTTCTCTTGCATTTCTTACTTGCTGAACTCTTTTCTGGTTTCTTTCTTTCCTGTAAACTATGATTTTCAAAAATTTAAATGCAACATCAATTGTCATCTTCTGCCTCTATGAACCCTGAACTTTTAATATCCTTTCTCCTCAATAACATTTTCTCAATTTCTTTAACTGTTAGTAACACCTTGCATCTTAGTGCTTTAGCATCTTGCTTGGGGTGAAATGATTAAAAACAAACAAACAAGCAAACAAAACAAACGAACAAAACACTGATTTATTTAAATTTGTTGTACTCATGTTATTTGTTTTAGTTACAATTGTTAAAATGTTGTGACGGTAATAGTCAAGTGAAGATAGCACATCAAATAAATCAGTGTACAAATTCATTAAAATTTCAGAATCTGTTGTTTTAGGATTTTAATAGATGTTTTTCTTTTTTTTTCTTTTAAAGATTTCAATCCATTACTGATGAAAAACCAAATGCTGTATAAATAACATCCTTTGCATTATGCTTTCAAAAGTGATATCTGTTATATATTGTAATTACAACTGATATCTGCTATCACCTTCTGCTACTTCCAATAAAGGACTTCTGCCTTTAGCCAGTAATTAAAAAGTATATGTCATCTGGTGACAGCTGGCTTATACTCTAATGTTTGGAATTGGCTTAGATTAATTACATGTCTACTTGTTCAGTTAAACTCAGACTTCTGGTTAAGATTCAATCAACCTACTTATATTTTTTCTTTACCTTTTATGAAAGTTTTTATATATATCTTTCTTTTCTTTTTATTGCAATTCTTCCTATGTCTTCTTAAATTTTTAAATAATATAAAAAAGAAGTGAAGTTTCATAAGTAGAATTTTTAAATAAAATAATTTATAACCATCTTTGCTCCTCACCTGATGAGATGCTTACTTTTAAGCATCAAAAGAAATATACATCTTTGTAGTGATTACTTGTTTGTTTGTATGTAACAACTTATAATAAATAATTATTGCTTTACTTTTGGTATTGAGCCCTCTTTTAAATTAATCTTATGAACATTTGAATTTATATTCTTTTCATTCTCATTACATTTGGATATATTTGGTAGCATGTTTTCAATAAGACATGTCTCATTAAACAATTTAGACAAGTTTTATTTACTTATTTTTAATAAGATCATCTCATATTTATGGACAAGTTTCTTAATATCCTTATTGAATAAAATATAAAATTGATATATTTCATCCATATTCATGACTAAGATAAGGATATCTTAAACATATCTTAGATGAAGGGTTTTTTGAATTCATAAAATATATTGTTTTTGAGACTAGACATATAGAAATTACTTAAAGATGGGCCCAGAACTGAACCCATAAAAACACCATCCTGTTGTACATATATATATTCTACAATCACAAAAATAATATATATGTACAATGGGATAGTATTTCCATGGGCTCAGTTCTGGGCCCAATTTTTAGTAATTCCTATATCTTAATCAAGAATATGGATGAAATATATCGACTCCAAAAACAATTCCAAAATAATTCTGTACTTAAATTTATATACAAACTTAATAATAGTAATAAAATTCTGTTTCTAGATACATTGATAAATACTACTAATAAATTCACTGTCTCTCAATATAAAAACCTACTAGCATAAATTTATGCACTTTTAACTATAAGAGTGAATGTTCAAATTACTATAAAACAGCAATTATAAAAGACCTAATAAACCATGCAAAAATTTACCTCCACAAAACAGATTTTCTATAGTAAACTAAAAAATATAAAACAAATTCTTATTAATAATAACTTTCCTAATTATATTGTCAACAAACAAATAAGACGTTATATTAAAAATTTTAATATATAGCAAACAGAATAAAATACTTCCTCAAATGATCCTAAACATATTAATCTTTCGTATCACAATCAAATACATTCTAATTATAAACAGGACGACAATATCTTAAGAAAACTAATACTAATATATCCACCATAGATCCCAGTAAAAAAAATAAAATTAATTATATACTAAATTCAATATATCCAAATTATTCATTCATAATGACTCCTCCCCACCAATTAACATATTGCAAAAATCCAACATTATATATAAATTTAAATGTCCCTTGGGAAATTTGTATCTCCAACAGAAAATATATATATATATGTTGGTCACACCACAACTACATTGTCTAGAAGGCTGAGTTTTCATATGAATGCTGCATCTAACATCTCTCAACATTTACAACAGCATGCCTTTCCACACTGACAATTTAGAAATATTTTTGTCATAAACACATCTATACTTTTTCATGAAAATAATAAACATAAACTAAAAATTCTTGAAGCTATCTATATTAAAAAATTGAAACCAACCCTAAATAAAAATTAATTATCAATACTATACAAATGTTTTAAAATGTTTACAGTAGATAGTTTAAAATATCTAGGTTATAACTAATAGCTTTAAGTAGTTTTTAATAAATAGTTATATATCTCAATAACTTAGTTACCTTCCTTGACGTTACTGCACCTGTACATAGTATGTCAAAATTAAAAAATTGTACAGTGCATAAGTTCAGCGTTTTTCACTTCACAAGTAAAAAATTTAATTTTCAGATGAACACAACAATTTTGTCTTAGCAAAAAAAAGACCCTGAAGATGGCATTGGGCTAATGTCAAAAGTACTCGGAAATAAAATGGATATACATCAACATGGTAATTTTCCTTCTTCCTTTAGTAAGGATACTAAGAAACTTGTCCATAAATATGAGAGGATCCTATTAAGCATAAGTAGACAAAACTAGTCTAAATTGTTAAAATTACATTATATATATATATATATATATATATATATATATATATATATATATATATAAAAAATGATATATTAATTTTAGGTACCTCCACGAAATCACTAAAAAAAAAGCAAAGCATGATGAAAAAAAGATCAAACTTGACAAAAACAAAATTTGATCATCTAAATATTTATGTTATTATTAAGAGGAAAGATCAAAGTATTTTTGTGATATTTTTTTTACATTTTTAATCATTCCTAGCATGTCCAAAATTTTCATTAAAAATCTTGTTTTTTTTTTTTTTTGTTGACAGATAATCGATCATGGCAATCATTTTTTTCCATTTTATAAAAAAAAAAATGAAAATCTCACTTTGAAATTTTTTTAAAAATCAATTATCATTTTTTCAAAACTTATTTTATGAAAATCAGAAATTATAATGTTTATTTAAAATATTTTGAACCAAGCTTAACTTAGCATCTACTCTGAAAAGATGTAATTTGAAAATAAAACAAAGCAGGTCATAAACTTTTGCATCACTTAACAGGTGATGAATGACATATTGACAGATTATGTGAGGATAATTCCTTCTATGGAAAGAGAGAAGAAAAGTTATTTACATTTAAGTGAACAAATTATTTACGTCGTTATTTTTAAGGAAAACTTTCAGTGCTCTAATTTTTTTTTTGTACTTAGCTTTCACGTTTTTTACGTTTATGATGCATTATGGAAAATATATTATAAAGAAATTAAAATAAGAGTGAGATTAAATTTCATAAGAAAGGTATCTAATTAATTTATAGGTACCTTTCTTATGAAATTTTATCAGAAGTGTACATAAAATACTATAATTTTATGTACATTTATTACATTTTACTGTGTTATTTGTATTTCCATTCATTTTATT